CACCACATCCATCCAACTATCCATCACCCAATAACCGTCATCCCACCACCCGACCGACCACTCAACAACCCCATGTTTTGGAGTCCGGCCATCCAACCGGCCAACCAACCAACCGTCCCTCCTAACCCCCCATCCACCCAACCACCCACCTAACCCCACAACCAACCACCCACCCACCCAACCACGCAACAACCGAACCACCCAACCAACCACCCAACCACCTAACCAACCAACCAACCAACCCATCAAACCACCAAACCGCCCACCTAACCACCCAACCAACCAAGCAACCAGCCACAGAACCACCCATCCATCCGCTCAACCACCCAAACAACCACCTAACCCAACCGGCCAACCACCCAACCACCCAACTAACCAACCAACGTAATACTGTTCGTAATTATGAATATATATTTTTGACAGCCGAGAGACTGGACTCATTGTGTCCGTCGCTTATCGTACGCATTGTGTTGCCGTCATCTTTCGCAGTGTCGTCGGCTAGCAATTGAGACTATTCGTAATTGTCAGGTTCACTTATTCAACCTTGCGACACAACATGGCCGACGTTGTTGTTGTTGTGAAAAAGGTTGTGGATGGAAAGGAAATCGTCGTGAGGGAGACAGTGTGTGAGCGCGATACTGAAAACGAAAGAGACTTTGAACACTGGGAAGGGGTTGTCACCACGAAAACACGTGTGTACTACGCGTTCATCGATGGCACCCTCGCTTTGAGGGTCGTGGCAGGGCTGGGATCCGACGACCATGATCGCCTTGATGAGGTTGTAATGCACGCAAAAAAGCTTTCGGATGTCATTCCTGATGCCTGCGAACCCCACGACTTCGATATGATTGGTCATTTGCTAAGGTGCATCGTGTCAGTCGTTGTGGTCGAGCATGTGGAAAGGTTAGCACCCAACGCATGATATTTCTCCAAACTCGACAGGCCGCTGCAACGCCGTACTTTTCTCCACGGAGATGTGCGCACTGTGTTGCCAAAGGACGGTTGCCGACAACAGTACCAAAGTGTCAACGAACCATCATCCCGGTCGTCTCATGCTTAGTCTGAAACAGGTGGGTTGACTCACAAAATCGTAAAGGTTTTTAACATTCGACAGTGTTCGAGACCACGACTACCCGCTCATCTCATACATATATTTAAAGTGTGTTCCCTCTCCCCATGCGGTACATGCAGAATATCATGTTTGCGTTATTCGTTGCTCGATCGTTAGGTTCATAACTTACGGTGTCGGTTTCTGTAAATTGCAGCATTTATTGAACGCCATACGAAAGAAGCGATGATGCATTGCGCGCCAATGATTGTCCGATGTTACCACATCACAAAACTGACAGACGGCGACACCGTATACTATTACGAATCAATGACTCCCGTAACAGATCCTGTCGGCGATGCAGCGGGATACCGCAATGGATACAAGAAGGTGGATCGTCATTTCGTTGTCAGCGTGGAGGAGGAACGAGTCGTTAGACTCACTACAGAAACTTATATTCGCGACCACGCCATCGAACACGTTCGTGTCCTAATGTCTAAGCCAACCACGTACTTCAGTACCTTTGATCTCAAACCGGTCGACGGTGAGTTCATGTATGATATCGTATTCCCCCTTGTGCATCGTATACTATACACACACTACGGGACGGTTGCTCGGGACGGCGTCTGGCGCCTGGTCGTGTCACCGCCCTATTTTGTCTCTAATGACGAGGATTTCTCTGCCATGTTTTATCCTTCCAGTTCGACCCAATGATGAGTACCATTCGTTAATTTTTTTCTTAGTTTCTTCGTTGTTGGAGAGAGAGAAAATGATGGTTTCAATGACTGTATATTCTCTCTTTATACATATGCAAGCCCTATCTCCCATGTGTTTGTTATATGTTTTCAGTATTTTTTTTTTTTTTTGCCTGCTTTGAGTTCTGAAATTTGTTTTCGTTTTCGTTATGTGAAGGTACAGTAGGCATAGTACTAAGGTAATCGGTGCCCGTAATGTTCTGTTTTGTAGATTTCAAAAAAATCACACATAAGCGACAAAACAATATTCATCCTTTCCCATACATGGACCGTCGACGACGCAAGGCTGGCGTGCGGGCCGACGCAGTAGTATTTGGAAATGGGATAGATACTGATCCTTTCCGCGACAAGGAGCTGACAGTCGCTGAAATTAGGAGCCGGTGGCCGGGACCTGCAGCGCTTTTGGAGGAGGCTGTGACTTTTGCTGGTCTGGATGAGCATCTGCAACGGTGCATGAATCTGCTTATTGGTCGTGCACATCTCGAACCCAAGCAGAATCGTTACAATGGATATGTCGCTTTTTCTCGGTTGTGCGGGTTCGTCGTTTTCCGACAAAGATTGCCAGATGAGTTCCAAGACGCATTGCGGGAACGATGGCCAGATACAATTGTTCGAGGTTTTGAACTACGACAATGTGATCCTCCTGAAAACGCGCGCCCACGTCGACGTGCACGGCGGTAAATGCTTCAAGAGAGAGAGAGACATGGAGAAAGAGAGAGAGAGAGAGAGAGAGAGAGAGAGAGAGAGAGAGAGAGAGAGAGAAAGAGAGAGAGAGAGAGAGTATGTTTGCCTGCAGTGTGAGTACGTTTGTCAGTCCGACTGTGTGTTTGCCTTGAGTGTGTGTGCGCGATCGTAAACTTAAGTGTGGGGGTTACTTTTGGTGTGCCCCGTAACGGCCCGTGCTTGTTCGACAGGCCATCAGGCCCGGTACTTACCTATTGTCGTGACTTGCATGAATTGCATTATGTAAAATTTGGTTTCCCTGCTGTACATCATCTTCATGTTCTTATAATCCTCGATCTCTCATTTGAAGTTCATTTGTTTCTTTTTGCAATTGTATGTCATTGTACCATTGGCAATGGAGTCTGAGCGACTCTAATCCTCGCTCTCGCTACTCAAGTTCATTCATTTACTGTTGCAACTGGATTTCATTGCAATATTGGATCAACGTGAAAATCTGAATTGGTTCGCCTATATAATGTGCGATCCAACTATTGCCTAACTGTGTAAGCATGTGAAGTATGGATGTATGTGTAACTCGACATTGGTCCAATAATATCTATACGCAGAGGAGGAAAATATATATATATATATATATATTATATATATATATCGTCAAATAGTATATATATATATATATATATATATATATATGCCTACGGTTTACCGGACAGTTCTGTTTGTGACGATATATGTATATATATATATATATCACTTGGTTGTCTGACGATATTTTCCAGCGCTCACACACAGACATTCTTAAACACGGCCACACATGCATAAGAACAGGGGAAGACGATTTTGTTTTTTAAAACACCTAACCACCCATACAATATAAAACATGCCCACACATGCATAACAAGAGGGGGAGAGATGACAGAGTCAAAACTGCACACAGACAAGGATAAGCAACGGAATTCAACCATGCACACATGTGGGAGGTCACACAATGAGTCTCACTCTCCGACAGACTTCCAACAAACAATCACAATAAAGAACCTCAGCAAATCACAATTGATATGATGTTGATAATGAGCCAACTCGAACGAATATCATAACATAGTTTGTTACAGTCGCTTCGTCCCCAATCGATTTCCCTCATTCTACTAATAGAGTACAATACTCAAACCTACACGTAGACGGGACTGACTAACCGACCAATACCGTTGCAGTTTCGCCCTCTCGGCCTCTACCGGACCCGACTATAGGCTATAGGACCGTCCATCAGCTCTGGCCATTAGGGCCTGTCTGTCCTGGGGGTAGTCCGGGCCTGCAAATCGCAATACGTGTATGTATAGGAAATTCGAAATAATGTTGGGCCTATATTTCCCATATTTACAAATGTGGCCCTCACAAATTTTCCTCACAGGTTGGTCTCACGGTTACGCTCGAGTCAAACGAAATTACAAATCTAACCCTACGGGGTAGTATACAGCCTCGCCATCAGTCTTCGCAGTCAAATTGAAAATATATATATATATATGTATATATATACAATGAACACGTCAAACTAAAAAGGCAACAAACATAAAAGTCGCATGTACAAAACACTACGACATAACATAATGTCAGTCCTCGAACAACTCGACATCATCTGCGTCCGATAGAGAATTGCATGATCGATCGAACACGGCATCCGCCGGTCCAGGCAACCTATCCTCGTCACCAATGATGAAAACATCGCCATCCCCCACAACGTCGGGATCCGCACCTTAAGCAACGTCCTCCTCGTCACGGGCAATGGTATCCTCGCCTCGGCGAAAAAGATCGCGAGGCAGAGGAGGTGTCGAGGACCCGACCTCGCCCGACACATCACAGTCGTCGTACTCGAGAAGGCGCCGAGCCCAATCTGAAACACATTTTGAACCGAAGATGAACGTGGACAGCCGATCCATCCACGAATCAGTAGGTGGCCGATTGTGACGGTAGTGGCTCGGCCTTGGACGAATCGAAGTCCCAGAAGGTCTACGGACACGATACTCCAAGGGATCCTGCCATGCATGACTGTTCCATCGAATGACTGCAATCGCCAAACGCGGCTCATACGACTTCTCGAAGTGCAAGGCCTTCTTCTCGTAAATGATGATTGTGCCCTGGAAGGTCTCAACCGTCGACGTGTGATGGAACTCCGTGTAGTACGAACAAACGGTCGTGTTGCAATGTCCCCCCAACGTCTGGCGAATGATGTCATACACGGGGTCGTCGTGCGTGTACAGAGGCAGCCGAGATGGGTCACCTGCCTTTGAGCATAAAAGCTCTCTGTCCGCAACGCACCTGGAGTGGTCCCCGGCCCAATGGTCGACGATCATCATGACATCATTGTGTAGAGTGACAAAGTCACCTCCCTCATCTCTGCAAAGCAGGGAAGCACGAAGAAACCAATGCCCCACCTCATGCATATGGAACTCAGTCACACCATCTGCATCCACGACCAAGAATTTGTTGTTTTTCATCGTGCCGTACGGGTACATTTTGCTCATCACAAGAGCAACGAAGTCGCTCTTCTTCAATCGTTCTTCTTTTGCCGTCAAAGACCCTGGTCCAAAACGGTCCGTCAAGGCATCCAACAACTCCTTCTTCGTGAACTGCATAAACTGAGATTCCGACACGCACTAATGAGGGTTGTTCAATTTCTTTGGCACCTTCAGTGTCACGACTTTTCTAAGTGCCTTGCATATGTTTTTTACCTTATGATGGCAATCCTTCTGCCATTCAATACCCAGGCGCTACAACTGTGGACCCAATGCAGCACAATCGTCAGAGACAACACACCGGATTTTCAACCCCCTCGACAACAGGCCTCTCAACAGGCGCACAACAGCAGGAACCTCAAGTTGGTTCGACGCCTTTCCCTCGTTTTTTGGCCGAAGAGTGTGAACACCCACCACAAGACGAGTATCACACTCAATCCCGGTAACAGTGCAATGCTGCGCAGACCTGGCCGAGTCGTAGCGACCGTCAACCATCAAAGTGACGGGTCTCCCCGATCGCATAACCGTGTCAATGGCCAAGTCGCAATACCGCACGCTCTGCCTGACAACCTTTGCATTCCAACCGTCATGCACATTTGGCTCACCGCGCATGCAACTGTAAAAAGTGGGCTTGTGCACAGGTGTCACCCCAAACGCGATGCAGAAGACGTTGAGGACGGTATATGTCATACCCGCAGTGACGGTCGCATGGAACAACTGCTGCTGAAGTCTGCAAGAGTACACAGCTCCCCCAACCAGTGCATTGTGCCATGTCCAACGACATGACTACTTACAAGCGAGCGAAATGTGACAAATCTGCCCAGGATAACCGACAGAGGACACATCCACAGCACAACCGCCCCCGTGGCGCGGGCAACTCAAATCGAACAACCCGAGCAACTGCAGCAGCTTCACCGGCTCCACAAAGATGACATCAGGCGCTTTCGAGCCTCCCCAGTGCCCCATCGATTTCAACACATGTTTAGACCAATTATTTCAAGGTCCGCTTTGCAAAGCACCAT